ACTTCAAATTGGGCAGAAACGTTGGAAGTTTTTGAGCGCAGCTTAGTATTGAAAATGGTCCAAATCGATTTAAGGACAGACTCACAGTACCATGTAAACTAGGAACACATCTATGTCTCAAAAGTAATAAAAAATTGGTCTTTTGGTTACTCGTCAACTATAGCTATTTGAACGCATATACTGTGGACCATACTGTAGTATAGAATATTTAAATAATTTTACCACGCCTACTCAATATTATAAGATATCAAAACTTCATTTTGTTTTCAGTAGCTTTATAACGCGCAGAGAATATCAAAAATCAGCCACGCCCACTCAATGCTATGAAATATGTATATAATATTTTTACTTTTTCCCAATTTTTTTTAGGATAATGGTGATGGGTATGAAAAATTCGGTCGCAACCGAATACAATTTTCTTATTTGTTTTCCAAATGATTTTTCTAACCATATAACTATACTGTGAAAAACTGCGATTTATTCGTATTGCAACATTTATCGATATATATGATTTACATTTTTCGACTGTCGGGGTAAGCTCTCAATTTAATTGAAAAAATGAAATATTATTTATGTGTATTTTTTGTGGATGATGGGTTCAACATATAATGCACAAAAGCAATGGATAACGTTTGTACCTCTACGCAAAAGGTATGCGCTTTAATCTCAGCGCCAATAATAAATCAATTTTCTAGAGCAGCTGTTTTGAAGACACTTTAGTAATGTTCCCTGCAAATTAATTAATTCTTAGCCCTTTAACAATTTTTTCAATTTCATGTAAAATTGGCAAAGATATTTTTGAACCGCTTTCAAAAATTGCATTGAGTATCTTGTATTTCTTGAACTCCTTATAATAAACGTACGATCACCTGTTGCCATATTACTAAAGAGTTTAAGATATCATAGTATTTATCTATTTTTTTTCCTGAAGAGATATACAAATTATGGTATAAACGACGTTTAGTCAAAACTACGCAATACTTCAAGCAAAACACAACAATCTCACACTGATTATTGCAGATGCGAAGAGTTTGCATTGACGGCCTCACAACAGAGTCCGCTCTCTTCATAAATTGGGTCGACGCAAAATATTGCGATTGCTTTGCCATATCAGTACACAATTCCTTTGCGATTAACTTTTCTCCGGAAAGTAACGTTTGAAAAGAATCATAAAATGCTTATATGTTGCGTTCACCGCAAAGTAACAAATGCATGCCTCTCTCTCTTTGAAAATCTCACTAATTATCTTTCCTTCACGGAAACGAAACGATATAATTCGTTCTTACACTACGCGTTAAAATCGTTACTGAAATTGATTAATGTTAAAGCGGCTGCAAAAAAATTTACTGACAGCATGCTTGCAAGGTAAACTTTCAATGAGTGAACATTAAAAAAGAAACGATGATGAGTTTGATAGAATTTCTCTAGAGTAGTTGAGTTGATTTGTAAACAGTGTGCCGAAAATCTTTACTTACAACTTCAAATTTTTCAAGGCCTTCAGATAAAGTCTACTTAAAAGTCATAAACGATTTTTTAATAGAGTGAAAAACGAACACTACAGTCAGCCACAGCCCAATATTAACTCCTCTACAACACTTCGCCTAATACAATTATTCATACAACGATGTTTTTAAAATAAGGTGCCACTTGGAAAGTGGTCGAGGCTTCAAACGATTTTCAATAAATGCTATCTCTGTGGCAAACACGTCAATGCACCAAATTACATCCAACGATTTCAGTTGAACAGAAAAATATATCAAGAGATAGCAGGCGGATAGATAGACAGACAGACCTAGATCGATTCAGAATTATTTTGTAAATCGAATTCTTTTCTAAATCGATTGGTATGGTAAAAGGTGAAACTATCTCAAGTCCTTCTAAGGTTATTTATCTATTTAATTAACCTAAGTGAATTTAGGGACATTTACAATATCAGCGAACTATCAAAAACACTTATCGTAAACTTATAGTCAATAAGTATAATAGAATTTTTAACTAAATGCAAACGCACCGATGATAAAACAAAGCTAAAGAGAATGGCTTGTTTTTCTCAATACAACATATATACATCCGCATAAAAAAAAGCGTTTCATTCAAGACAACTGTAAACTAAGTATTTTCCATCGAGCACCAATTCCATAAATCTATCCATAAAAGAGTCCATTCTTCTAGTGTCGCAAGAATAAAAACCGTGCTCGGATGTGCAGAGGCTTTTCGGTTAAAATCAATATTAATCAAAAAAAATAATGTTTCGTGAGTGCAGCTGGGCAATGCAGTAAATTCCACTTTAGTGTTGCTAATGTTTTCTCGTCAAGTTTGAAAAATAAAAATCGCCCGGTAATATAATTTCGTATATTGCAACCATTTGTCACTTCAAAATTTTCTAAATCTCGTCAATAGTTGATGATAGCGCCCATTAGATTGGAGCAGCTCGCAATACGTAGCTAAAGATCCTAACGAGTGCGTCAAGTATATTCGGCCTTATTGCCAATGCTAATGTTTACCCAGACTTGCGCTATTATTTTTGCATCTGTTTGGCATCAACCATCACGAACTAGCAGCATTTTCCTTGTAATTAACCCGGATAAAAAAGTTTTGTGCGTTTGGCGTTTGATTTATTGAGAAATACAGAAAATTGTGTTTTATACTTTAGAGGAATAAATTATACTATTGCGTGAAGCTCAAACTGTACTTTCACTGAGAGAAGTCGTAGTTGGATAAACCCTCTCTGAGACAAAATAGCAGTCGCCTCTCTGAGGCGGCTTAGTGCGGCACCTAAGATGCAATGATAAATCGATTTATCCATTTTTACCACCAAACTATTTCAACATAAGCTATATTTTCCGTCCGCTAAAATGTCATAATGAAAGTGACAGTAGAGGAAGTGGTGGGATCGGCACAAGAAACTTATGAAGAGATGACTTCCATTGGCTCATCCGTAATACCACAGTTCATCAGATAACTAATCCCTTTTTCTCCCACTTAAGTAAGTAACATAATTAGTTAAGAGTTTATTCGTTGTTTGAATTCTTTCTTTTTTAATTTTAACTTCCGGTAATATATACCTAATAATAGTAACAGAAAAGTTCGCTTATTTTTGCCCACTCCATACAAAATAAAGACAAGTACACTTCGGATGACGTATTTAGTTCATTCTTTTAGTTCATTCTATTGCGATTATGTGAGCATTTCATTGCAACTGCTATGTACAAGAACTATGATTAAAGTAATTCCTTCTGTTCAGCGTAAACCACTTATGCACTCAAACAAAATTGTAATGCCTTTTTAAAAAAAACGCGGGAAATTATATGTTTTGCGAAAACCCTCTCCTGATGTACTTATCTTTTGGGGAGTGCCATACTATATGTACCTTAAGGTTAAACAATAGATTATTAGGTTAGAAACTAAATTTGCCCTAAATTGAGTATATTTCCATAAAATGGTCGTAAGACATAGAAAAATATATATGAATAGAGAAGCAAGGCAGTCTCACAAAAACTATAGATTAAATCTCTTAATATAATAAAAGAAAATTTTTTTTATTATACTCTGGGGCTGCAAAAAACTAAGCTGCTGGCTTTAATTGAATAAGATTTTCTATTAAAAATGTATGATAATAGCATAAACGTAACTTAGTACGTAAGCAACAGTTGCGCGTAATATAGAAAGCATAGCAACAACAATGCTAATGTAATCTGTTTCCTTTTTTTTACAAGGCACTGCTTGAAAGAAACACAGCGCCCAAATATTATAATATTTCACAAAAAAAAAAAGGTTATGCAGAGCTATCCACCTTTTTTTTCTTCTTCTTTAATATTACAAGCATGTTTTAAATGAAAATGAATCTTTATTATAAACAAAACAGACGTCGTATTGCAACAGTCATTACCTACACCCCGGCAGCGCGCTTCAAAATTTCGAAAACGCGGCACTAACGCCTCGAAACACGTTAACAATGAAAATACGATTACGCAACAAGCAATTGAGAATAACCTTTCAAAGTTCAATCTTCAGTTAATGATAAACAAAATGATTTCGTTCCTAATAGGAATGTTTTAGTCTCTGCTGATCTTTACATAACTAATGTGTCTTCTGTATGCGCATGCCGGCACTAGCAAGCTGGCTGCGACGGAAATCAATACCTGCCATATGCTGAGACAAGACAAAACTTCACCAAAGTATTTTTTTCGTCAAAAATTATAATAATTCGTAATAATTACATTTTTCTAATAATTTTTTCTAATCCTTCGAGATGTAGTTAGAATTAATATAAATCGCAAATAAATGGAATTCTTAAGATGAAAACGGCTATTAAACTCAGTTAATCACGGATGCATAAAGGCAAGCAATGACGAGGTTAACTCGTTCGCTTCCATTGTCCCGCGAGAAAGACGTTCACGACACTCGATGATTTTTTAAACTGGTACGAATATACGACATATATGTGATGGCGCGATGTAGTGAGAAACAATTGTTTTCCATAAATGCGATGCCGCAATGTGGTAAGAAATGGCTGTTTCACATAGACGTGACGGTTGGTAGCGAACGAGTAAACATTCTTAACAATATTTTAACAACGTAATTCATGCTCAACTCTTTACATCCTAGACCACTTGTAGTGCAAGGGTATACTCATGCGTGACCCGAACGAATTTGGAATAAACCCACATATTTTTATAGCTAGGCCTGTCTGTTCATCTTGTTTCTTATGTTTAATCTAAAAGTCGGAATTTTTGAGATATTTTGATGAAATTTGCAACACGACCGGGCCATGAGTGAATGCTGTTGAAAATGTTTCGAATCGTATCAATTTTTCGGCCACTTCCCTTACGACGTTTTATTTTGAAAAATCGTTGTATGAATAACTCGGAGCTGGTGTAGGGTATTTAAAGATAGACCATGTCGCACTGTGAATCTTTTACTCACTTGGACGTAAAGAAACTTATTGATATCATGTTTTAAAACTATATTTTCATTAATTTTTCTATTTTTTCTTACAGTATAAGACATGTTACGTGGAGTATACAAAAACGAACAAAAAAATCTGCAAATATGTCTAAACAGTCATCCTTGTCAAGGTCATCAACATTTCCAACAATGCACAACAAAACAACTTTATATAAGAAAAAACTCTTCTTGGAAACATATAATTTCAAATATGCTTGGGCGGCGATAGCAATTATGGTAAGTATAAGTTAAACATGAAGAAAAAAATTGTTAAAATATTATTAACGCCCATCGTAAACACTAGCTAAAGGGTTCTACACAAAATGCGATAATTCAGTCACTCAATATGAACGTCAGTGCTGATCAATGACGTTCGAAATGAATTGAACTTTACTTATGAATTACCCTTTACTTGGACAAACTTTCTTCAGGACTTAAGGTAGAGTTACCTTTAGTTACGCCATCTATTTAGAGTTTTTCCTTGTAGCGAACATTGAGCCGTTATAGTAATTTGATATAAAAATGGTCCAAATTTGGACCATACAGGTATAATTTTTGGATGGCACTTTATACAAGGAATCTTAAGAAGAGTAAGTCTCTTTATGGCAATTAAGTTTGAGTTTGAATACTTTAAACAATTCATATCCTTGACAAGCGGGTTAACGTTACAAAATGTGGAAGGAGCCGGTCCATACTTTGGAGCTCCTTCCCTATAAGGTCTCTTACGAGAAATAGAAAACTGTATGAAGCGAAATAGTGCAGGGTTTTTAATCATCAGGCTTACCCGACTACACTGTCTCTGCTTGTTGTGCTTAAATATTTTCATTAGTTCCTTCGAGCATGAGTTCGTTGCAATCACAATAAGGTGTTTGTCTTGACAATGCTTCTGCGAAATGTTTGCATTTGCAAACACAGTCGTTTATCATTTCGTTTATGGTTTGTTTACTTCTTGCAGCTCCATGAATAGGGACAATTCAACGTGGATGAAATTGCAATTGTGTGTGTATATATGAA